CCTGCTGGGCTCTGGTGATCCTTCCGCCTCAGCCTTCCAAGTAGCTGGAACTACAGGTGTGCGCTACCACACCTGGTTAATTTTTTGATTTATTGTATGAGGTCTCACCAAGTTGCCCAGGCGGTTCACGAACCTGCGGGCTCAGGCAATCCATTTTTTTAAAAATGAAAGAACGCTTGTGTTTGGATACTAACCCTTTCACAGTGAAACACACTGCAAATATCTTCTTCTAGTCTGCGTAATATCTGGTGACTTTTAATCTTTTTTTGGTTATACCAGTTTTCGGGTCAATGGGGAAGTATAAACCCTGAATAGAAATTTGATAATATGTTCAGACTTAATTTTTTTTTTCTTTCCTGAGTTATGATGATAGTATTGTGATAAATTTTACAAAAGGAGCTTTTATCTTTTAGAAACATACACATTTATAGAAGTACCAAGATTGGTCATGAGTGAATGAATGGTGAAGCTGAGTGATGAACTAGGGGTGCCTTATGCTAGTCTCATTACCTTCAACTAATGACATGCTGGGCATTTCTCTAGGCTGTTTACCAGCTCTTAATCCTCTTAATGACCTTATGCAATAGGTGGTACTACTATCTCCATTTTACAGATGAGGAAACTGAGGCAGAGAGAGGTTAACTAGCCCAAAGTCATCCAGCTGGTAAGTAAGTAGATCCTCAGATTTTACAATCGAATTACACTATCTGGCCTCTCATATTTAGGTTTTAGTAACAATCGAGGATGGAGCCATGAACCAAGGGATGCAGGTGACCTTTAGAAACTGGAAAGGGCAGGGAAGGAAATAGATCTTCTTGGAGAGTCTCCAGAAAGAATCCAACCTTGATGACCCATATTAGACTTCTGGTAAGAAGTCTGCTCCAGCTGAGGTGAGTGGATTGCCTGAGCAAAAAAAAAAAGAAGTCTGCTCCAATGCCTTAGTAAGTCAACAATTATATTATAAACATGTATTACAACAACAACACTGAAATGTTTGTTATTGAGCTTGTTTGCCACATGCCAAGTGCTAAAAGATTTACATGCAAAAATCGTTTATTATTTATTTATTTTTTTGAGTTGGAGTCTCACTCTGTCGCCCAGACTGGAGTGCAGTGGCCGCTCCCGGCCACCGCAGCCTCGACCTGCTGGACTCCAGTGATCCTTCTGCCTCAGCCTTCCAAGTAGCTGCAACTACAGGCGCACGCTATCACACCTAGCTAATTTTTTGATTCATTGTAGAGATGAGGTCTCGCCAAGTTGCCCAGGTGGGTCTCGAACCTGTGGGCTCAGGCAATCCACTCACCTCAGCCTCCCAAGGTGCAGGATTACAGGTTGAGCCACCAAGCCTGGCTCATGCAAAAATATTGTTTGAAACTCTCAAGCATACTATAGTTTACATATTATTATTATTATTTTTTATTTTAAGATGTGGGGCACAATTCAGGGTTAGGTATACAAATGTTCATTATACAGGTACTCTTGTTGATGAGGTGTGCCCCTCCCTCCCCTGGCAGTTTCCCTCAACTGCCAATCCCATACCCCCCCATTACATATTATTATCATCCTATTTAACAATTAAGGAATCTGAGGCTTAGAAAGGGCAACAGATATGAAGTGAACAGAGCCAGGACTCACAGGCAGGATGATCAGACCCCAGAATTTTGCTGACACCTAAGACAACCAGGGGACAATCAGGCTGGACATGTCAAATACTGTAAGAACTCAGAACCAGGGAAAGGAGGCTGTGCCATGGATTACCCCTGAGTAGTGGGCCAAGGGGGAGCTGGAGCAAGTGAACAGAGACTGGAAACAGTGTGATACAAATGAGGAACTGCCCTGGAGGCCTCAGGTCAGAGGAGGAGGGAGAAGGGAGGAGACTGAGGGGAGTGGTGCACACAGATGCACACATGCAGATGAGCCTTGCCGGGAGGCGTGCCATGAAATGTGGTGCTGTGGATGAGTCAGCACAACTACATAAGGAAAACCAGGCAGGAGGCTGCTGTCTTCAGCCAGGTGGGCCAAGGACAGTAGGAGCAGACAGAGAAGAGGAACCAGGAGAGGGTGGAATGAACTTGCCAACTGACTGGCTAAATCAACTCTACTTTGTCCCGGGCATCTTGGTAAAAGACTGGTTTTTAGTTAGTTACAAGCTGAACAGGGCTGAGAGTGGATGTGAAGGTCTCAAATTAGCCGCTTCCCTCCCTGGGAACCACTACAAAGTGGTAGTTTCATCAGCTGAAATGCTCTTTATGAGGCAGTAAAATCCAGAGCCAACCTGCATGAATGTATCCTGGTTTAGGATAATACTCTTCTGAGCAAGCAGTTGAATGAAGCATGCTTAGGAAAACTTTCTATAAGAGGTAAATAAGCTGCACTGCAGGAATTGAACCCGGGCCTCCCACGTGGCAGGCAAGAATTCTACCACTGAACCACCAATGCTTCTGCTTTTGGAGAGGTTTTTGGCTGAGGCCACGACCTACAGAATGGAGCAGTTCTTTTCCAGATGGCTTGACTTTTTGCCACATAAGTGGAAAGGGTGAGCAGGGGCTGCTGGGTTCCACTTTGAGAGAGTAGGCACAAACTTTTCAAAAAACTAAAATGAAGATACAATTCATATAACATAAATTTCACGCAGCAAAAAATTCACCATTTTAAAGTGTACAACTGGGTGGTTTTTATTACATTCACAAAGCTGTGCACTCATTACTCCTATTTAATTCTAGAATATCTCCACTGCCCCCAAAAGAAATCAGGCATCTGTTAGTAGTCAGTCCAGATTCCTCCTTTCCCCCAAGCCCAGGCAACTGTTATTCTATTTTCTAACTCTGTAGATTAAATGTCATTTTGAACTTTTAAGTTAGTATAAAATAGTCAAAGCATTTGCCAGTTATACTTGTCAAGCACAAAACAACAAAAAAGAAACAAAAAAAGCAGATGTGAAGTTGGATACATTGTATGATCTTACACACACACACACACACACACACAGTATACAAAACTGGAAAAAATATGCCAAAATTTTAATACTGACTGCCTCTTTGTGAGGATGGACTTGCTCCTCCTCTGTATTTTTTTCAACTTTCTAAATTTTCTAAAATGAGAATTAAAAAACAAAAAGAGGCTGGGTGTGGTGGCTCACGCTTGTAATCCCAGCACTTTGGGAGGCACAGGCAAGAGGACTGCCTGAGCCCAGGGTTTGAGACCAGCCTGGGCAAATTGGAGAGACCTTGTCTTTTACAATAAATAAAAAAAATTAGATGTGGTGGCATGTGCCTGTAGTTCTAGCAGTAGGGAATGTTGAAGGGGAAGGATCACCTGAGCCCAGCAGGTCAAAGCTGCGGTAGCTGTGATCATGCTACAGCACTTCAGTCTGGGTGCAGAGTGAGACTCTGACTCAAAAACCAAACCAAGCCGGGCTCGGTGACTCAGCCTGTAATCCCGTGCCTTTGGGAGGCTGAGGTGAGTGGATTGCCTGAGCCCGCGGGTTCGAGACCCGCCTGGGCAGCGAGACCTCATCTCTACAATAAATCAAAAAATCAGCTGGGCGTGGTAGTGCATGCCTGTAATTCCGGCTACTCGGAAGGCTGAGGCGGAAGGATCGCCAGAGCCCAGCAGGTTGAGGCTGCGATGGCCAGGAGCGGTCACTGCACTCCAGTCTGGGTGACAGAGTGAGACTCCAACTCAAAAAACAAAAAACAAACCAAACCAAATAACTAAAAACCAAAAACCAAAAGAAAATATTCATGTCAGTAAGAGTTCACAAAAATATGTCTAACATTTAGATTCTTCTGGTTTCCCCTAGTAAGAAAGCTTCTCTCTTTGAAGGCCCACACTAACTTATCTCACATTAAAAAAATTTTCCAGGGTCTGCCAAAAAGCTTACAGCTGCTGCATTGGCCGGGAATCGAACCCGGGCCTCCCGCGTGGCAGGCGAGAATTCTACCACTGAACCACCAATGCTCCAGCTGAGAGAAACTCTGCCTCCAGCTGTTTTGCTGCTCTGGCTAAGCTGTAACCTGACACCTGAGATGGGTCCAGCACAGACTGCTGCTCAGTTCTATCAGCCAAACCCATGGTCCATGGGGTACACATGCTTGCAATTCTGCTCAGACGATCAAAAGTAAAGTTCACTAATGGCAATGGGAGAAAATGCTTTAGCAATTCTTTTGGCTCCTGGGGGCAGGTTTCAGACCTCACGCAGTTATCCTTAAACATTTGAGTAGGTTGTGCATCAATTTACTCTCTGGTTGCTTCTGCAAAGGAGGACATCACCCCGACTGATCAGTAACCTCTTGGTAAGGACAGAGGTCCAAGAGATATGAAAATGTCAGGGTTCTAGAGAATATTTAAACTCCAGACACCAATCAGCATAAATGTGCTTTTTGAAATGTTACAGATAAACAAGAAAATAAAGTTAAAGGAGTCTGAAAGGAGAACATAGCAACTTCATTTTTTAAAGGTACTGATTTGGGCAGAATTCGCAAGCATTGAATAAACTGAAGCTAGAGCTTTTTAAACCCTCCCTCCCTGAGAATGACCTGCACAGTAAACAAAGTCAGGCTTCTGGGTAGCTGGATATCCACTGCCAAGATCAAGTGTACCCTGAATATTGGCACTCCTTCCATGCTCCAAACCTTCCTACCTTGAAAACAGCTACTTCTTATAGTTGAATCCAGGAAAAAGATTAAAGAAAAACTTACTGGACTTTGAGGGGGTCAGGGAGAAAATTATGGCCTTGGGAGGCTGCCTGCCTGGGTTCAAATCCCAACTCTGCCCTTCACCAGCTGCCAGATTCTGGCCATGCTCAAGCTTCCACATGTCCCTCTACAGAACGGGGATAATACGGTTGCTACCTTGCTGAGCTGTTGCCAGAATTATTTGAGTTAACACATATAAAGTAGCCCTGGTTGGTTAAGGGAGGCCCCAAGGGAAGCTGTACAACCTCTGGCTCCCTGGGGCCCTTCGTGGGAGGAGGGGAGGGGCAGGGGCAGTTTACTTACCACTGGCTGCCCCCTCCTGCTTTCCTAGGGAGTCATCCGGGTTGGGTTCAGTCTGTCTCTGCACCACTGGCTTCAGCTCATCTGGCTCATCGTCCTCAGGGGTGACCAGCTTCATCAGGCTCTGGTTGCACACGTTGGCCACCTCCTTGATGCCTGAGTCCACTGATGTAAGGAGCTGTCCCATTCAGGGGAGGTGTCCCTAAACCTAGTATTCCTGGTCCAGGGCTCAGTCCTCCCAGAGGCTGTTAGGCAGACAGGCAGTCTCAACCAAGTCCATGTTCTCCTTGCCATATTGGTGCCCCTGTGAGATGTTCCTGTTTCTTCTAGGAGCATTCCCTCCTGCTGGTCCTCCTGGATTTCCCCCACCCAAAGTTGGGGTTGAAAGCCTGGGTCCTGGGATAGCTTCTCCCGACCTTTAAGTAACCAGGTAAGTTGTGGAGACTGCAGCATCAGCTCCGTGTCCCTGGCTTTCCTAATCCATGTTCCGCTCCACCTCTTGTGCTCTAGATGCTAGGGTCTATTTGGGAATGTGATGGATCCTAAGGGAGTCCCTAACCCCCACTCCAGGGTCCCTCAACTTCAGTCCCTTTGGGGTTGCTCTTATTTTTCTCCCCAGAGCAAAGGATACTTTTTTTACGGTCATCGTAGGCCAGGCAGGGCAAGACAGCAGTCAGGATCCCAGAGGAATAAGGCAGCATCACGCGGCCAGCCAGCTGGATGAACTCCCGCATCCAGCACATGGCTGTCAGCTGGATGAGGTCATCTGGAAGGGAATCAGGGATTTCAGATGGGTCAGCATAAGAGCCGAACTGTCCCTTCTCACTGACCACACATGCAGGACTGGGAACCCAATGGCTCGTTCCATTCTCACTAACGCTCTCTTCCCCATGTACTTTGCCTTCCAAAGGTACAGACAGACACAGCCTGTAACACAGTAACACTCCTGTGCTAGACTGTAAAGTGGCCACAAATCTCACTGTTCCCTGTATCTATGCCCCTCTGTAATGAAAGGCCTCCTCTCACCAAGAAGTAGAGTTGGTTTTCCTACTCCCGGAATCTGGGCGAGCCTTGCTACTTTGGCCAGTAGAATGTGGTTAAAGTGATAGTGTGCCTGGTCCACCCCTAGGCCCTCAGAGACCCTGCTCACTTCTACCATCTCTCTTGGAATCCTGCTGAGGCCGTATGAATGTGCCTGGGCTAGCCTGTTGGACAATAAGATGTTGTCTAACTGCCCCCACTGCCAAAAAACCACCAGACATGAAAGAGGTCATCCTGGACCGCCCAGCCCCAGCAACCTTCCGGTTGACTGTAGGTGTAAGATCAAGCCCAGTCAAGCCTGGCCCAGGAGCAGAACCACCCAAGTGACCTGCAGACTCATGATCAATAATAATATTGTTTTAAACAATTACGTTTCATAGTGGTTTGATACCCGACAGAAGCTAATGGACACATAACCCCAACCTCCAAGCATTTCAACTCTCAGTGCTAAGGTCAGGCTTGTCACCAAGGTCTCTAGATTTTATTCCACAGAGGCCACCGTAGGTAAAAGGTCCTTCATGTTGATAGAGAGCCTGGATCTCCTTCTCACAGAGACTCACCACTGCATTGCTCCCAAGGCTCAGTGTCACACTGTTTTTTTTTGTTTTTTGTTTTTTTTTAATTAAGAGATGGTTTTTTGCTATGTTGCCCAGGCTGGTCTCAGAGTCTTGGGCATAAGCCATTCTCCCACCTTAAACTCCCGAAGTGCTGGGATTATTGGTGTGTGTCCCCATGCCTAAAGAATTTATGTATCTATTTCAGAGACGGGATCTTATTATGTTGCTTAGGCTGGTCTTGAATTCCTGACTTCAAGCGATCCTCCTCCCTCAGCCTCTAGTAGGTGGGATTATATGTACACACCACCACATCTGGTCACATTGGTTAATACTCCTTCCAGGACTCTCTCCTGCCCCCTCACTGAAGCTGAGATAGTGAAAGGTACATCTGCAGAGGCAGTGGCATCTGTGGGACCCCCACACACTCACCTGTCGTCTGGCAGTGGATCACCAGGATGTTGGCCATTTCAGCAAACTTTACACTGGAGGGGTTCTTCTTAATTTCTTTCAAGAATTCCCCAAGAACTACCTCACACCTACCAAGAGAAATGGACAATGGAAAGCAGCACATGTCTGCCAGGGCTGGAGGAGTCTCAACCCAGTGCTCTGGGTCAGTTCATTTCTGCTCTGGGTCAGTCACCCAGAGGGAGACTACACTTTGAGGCCTACATTTTCAGAGGCTGGGGTTTTTGTTTTTGTTTTTGAGTTGGAGTCTCACTCTGTCGCCCAGACTGGAGTGCAGTGGCTCCGGGTCACCGCAGCCTCGACCTGCTGGGCTCCGGCGATCCTTCCGCCTCAGCCTTCCAAGTGGCCGGAATTACAGGCACACACTACCATGCCCAGCTAATTTTTTGATTGATTGTAGAGATGAGGTCTCGCCAAGTTGCCCAGGCTCAAACCCGCGGGCTCAGGCAATTCACTCACCTCAGCCTCCCAAGGCGCGGGATTACAGGCTGAGGCACCGAGCTGGTTTAGGCTGGGGTTTGATGAGCTCTTAGCACCTCAAAGCAGGAAGCACATGAGCCAGGAAGAAAAGAGAGATTTTCTTGCCCTCCTGTTGCTGCCTGTTTGTGGGTGTGGGGTGCATGTGCATACTGAGGGTTCTCACTCTACTTACATTTTCCGAATCTCTTTGCCATTGTCGCCCAGGATCTGGAAGAGTCCGTCCAGGATCTCTGGCAGGTAATCCAGCAGGTTAATGTCTGGCACAGACTCCAGAACCAGGATCTAACCAGGGGGTGAAAACAGGAGGGGAAGTCACAGCAGCCAGAGAAACTTGTCTCCCCCTCATCAGTCTTCTGGGACTGGGCAGTGGGAAGGGGACCTGTGGAGGCAGCATTTCCCCACACTGCAGGAGTCCCATGGGGGAGGGAATGCTACCAGCTATCTTGTTGTTGTTGTTGTTAAATGTTCAAAGGAATGGTAATAGGACTCTAAGGAAATCCAGATGTCTAGGGGAGAAGAGAATGGATGGGGAAGGAGGCTAGAGGAGGCTAGAAAAGGTGGGACTGCTGAAGTAGCACTATTGGCTTCAAAGAGAAATCTGGGTATTTCTTGGCAAAAAGAAAGACTCTAATTCCCTTCAGGGGCAACATGATGGGCTTTAGGGGCAAAGCTGAATAAAGTGCTTTTGGATTATCAGGCATTAATGACTATTCGAGGACAACAAGGAGGCTTCCTGTAGCCAAAGGACCTACCAAGGATGTGGCAGAAAGCATTTTACCAAACTGGAGCTCGTTGAACTAGAGGCTGGAGAAACAGTGCCAGGGCCGGACCTTACCCAAGAGATGATGAACTGCCGGGCATACTGGTTGTTGGAGTAAATCCTCTCCCGCAACAAGGGGATGAAGCCCACCAGGTCAAACTTGTTGCTCTCAGTCACAATGTCCTGCGGATCAAAGGAATGTGAGCTGCCAATGCCAGAGACCAGGGCTGCCTGACCTGGTGGAATCACTAGCCCAGGCCTGGCTCCAGAGGTCAGGCAGCCCCAGAGGAAAACGGCAGAGTCCAAGCTAGGCAGGAAAGGTGCCTGGAGTATTCGTTTTGCCACAGGTACCCCACTCATTAAGCAAATCTGAGGAAGGCTGGGAGAGTAGGGAACCGGCTAAGTGGGGAACCAGATGCAAAACTGGTGGACGGAAAGCAGGAATCAGTTTAAGAGAACTAATCAAATAACAAAACCCCACTCTCTGTGGTCTGGATGGAATGCCAAGCCCCCTGCTATTGGGGGAAGGGTGGTATGGAAGGATAGAGGCAAACTTTGCTCTGGGTGGCGGCAAGACAAGGGGATGTTTAGGATGATGGCACAGTTCTGGATGTGACTACAGAGGTGACAGAGCTTTGTACACTTGTCATAGAACTGCATAGCAAAGAGTATATTTTACTGTATGTAAATTTAAAAATTAGGAAAATTAGCAAGAGTATCCCTGGTGATAGAATTTCTAAGGTGAAAGACAGGTGGAAGACACAGATGCTAGAAATAAAAGTGGGGACAATGTACAAGTACCTTTAAAAGGCGGTCTAGGAGCTCAGATCCACTTTTCACATTTGGGTCTGGGTCAGCAGCCAGCTAGAGAAACACAGAAAGGGGAAACACAGAGGCGAGGGGCATAGTCAAATGGGAGACAAGGAATCTCCTGCAAACCCATGGCAAAGACCTTGGTGCAGCCCAGAACATCTAACAGGTACCCACCTGAGCAAATCTGAGGAAGGCTGGGAGAGTAGGGAACTGGCTAAGTGGGGAACCAGATGCAGCTGGGTTCCCCTTCTGCTCAGGGATGCCTCCCAGGGCTTGCTGGAGTTCCTGTTTCCTGCTATGACTGGGTGGGGGTTGCTTCCCATGGGCCCTCTTCAGGGGTTTCCAATCTTAAAGTGCTGGGTCCTCTCTCTACTCCTGGAGGAGGGGCTGGGCAGCTGAGAGGCTGATACTCTAGAAATGTGGCATTCCACAGAGGCCCAGCACCGCAGGGCTGCTCTGTGCCTGGGGTGGGGTGGGGCAAACTCCATGAGGCTGAGGGGCATGGAGGAGAGTATGATGGACTCCAGAGCCCTTCTAAGGAAAGCTTTTTCTAGAGCACTTGTGAGCCAGAATAATGGCCACCCTCTTCACAGGGCAAACAGCGTCTCTGCAATGGATCACCATCACCTTCTAACCAAGGAGTTTAGTGCTTCTCAGATTATCTATTTTTCCCCTCCGCTGTGTGGTAGGCTAATACTTTGATAAAACACAAAAACAGAGAAATGAAAAAAAGGTAAGTATAAGCCCATTTAGAAAAGTATTAGATTCAACAGACAATAATTGTTCCTTGTAGTCATATGCTTACATGCTCTGCTTGCATCTTTAAAAGGGATCTGGGCACCCAAGGCCCCAGGAGGTCAAGTGAGCTCGAATGTGCCAAGCTCAGCCTAGCTTGGAGGGGTGTCTGTTACCTTGCTCAGCCCGTCAAAGAGAACGTTGAAGTGGGGCAGCACGGCGCCGCGGGCTACCTTGACAATGTTGTAGAGTGCCTCGCAGGCATAGTAGCGTAGCCTGCTGTCTGCATCATTGAAGCAGGTCAGCACTGGCTCAATCAGTTCTTTCAGGTAGAGCCCTGAGTCCTGCAAGGGGGCAGGAGGAGGAGACGGCTCAGAATGGGACCCAGTCCAGGTCCTGCAGCCTGCAGTGGCAGCTGCTACCCCAGCTCCCTCAGAGATGCTTAGGCCTTTATGTGAGGGCTGGGCTCAACGACCTTTCCCAAGTCTGTCTCCCAGGAGAGGGGACACGCTTGGGACAAGGCTGCGAGGCCAGCCTGGCTGGTCTTATGTGTGGAAAGAGTGGCAATGAAACAAAGATCTGCAATGTCCTGCTGGGTCTTGGAAGGGAAGGCATCTGGATGGCTCAGTCAGAGTCAAGGCCACCACTAGTGTGTCTGTCCCTCAGGAGAAAGGCCCACCTTGCCCAGTGCGATGGAGCAGGCGGCCAGGCCGATGAGACCCCCTTTTCGGCTGTGGGGGTGCTGAGACAGGGCAAACTCCTGAGACAGGGTCTGGATCACATGCTTGATTTGCACAGTATTGTTCTGGGCCACGAACTCCCGGACCAGCCTGGGGAAAGAGGAGAGAGGGGCTGTGGGAATCAGGGTACATCTGCTGTGTACTCCAAAGCCTGGGACTGAGATGAGGGAGAGGACCTGTTTAGAAAGAGGAATTAGGAGTCAGGCATCTCAGGGCAAGTCTTCCCAGTTCTGCTGCTGGTTGGGTCATGGCTGTTTCCCTACTCTGGGTCTCAGTTTCTCTTTGTGTACAACGGAATGAGGAACAGCAGTGCTATCTCACTTCTGGGAATCTGAGAGAATGCAAATAAATGTCTTGTTGGGGATCAAAAAATGCAACACATTATCAGTTAACCAAACATCTTTATTCAACATTTGCTCAACTTTCCATTCATGTATCCAAGAAGTTGCCTGCATCTGACCCATTATTTCTAGAGACAGAGCTGAAGACACACTAAAGACCCCAGTCTTATGGGCAAGATCCATGTACAAATAAGTAACTGTAGCAAGGTGGCTTCAGTAATATAGAAGCAAGAAAATGCAATGAGCTAAATTCCCTCAGACCACTCAGGAGGGCTACAGGAGGTGCCAGCGGGGTCAGATCTTAAAAACATGAACAGGGCCGGGCTCGGTGGCTCAGCCTGTAATCCCGCGCCTTTGGGAAGCTGAGGTGAGTGGATTGCCTGAGCCCGCGGGTTCGAGACCCACCTGGGCAGCGAGACCTCATCTCTACAATAAATCAGAAAATCAGCCGGGCGTGGTAGCGCGCGCCTGTAATTCCGGCTACTTGGAAGGCTGAGGCGGATCGATCGCCGGAGCCCAGCAGGACGAGGCTGCGGTGGCCAGGAGCGGCCACTGCACTCTAGTCTGGGCGACAGAGTGAGACTCCAACTCAAAAAAAACCCAAAACATGAACAGGTATTTTCCAGGGAAAGCAAGGAAGGCACATCTTGGGCACAGGGATGAGGCTGGCCAAAGGCACAGTAGGCTGAGAAGACATGGCCTATTGAGGCAGGATGAGGGATCTGCAAGTGGAAGGAGCAGCTAAAGATAGTTAGTGAAGAGAGGAGCCAGTGCAGCTTTTCCAACAATGAATGACATGCTTGAAACTTCGCCTTAATTAGGGATCTCTGGCAGCAGCTTGGAGAAGCTGGGCTGAAGCAGTTTTGACAGAAGAAAACCAATGCAAAGGACAAACTTTCTCAAGAGAACACTGCAGCTACCAGATAAGGAGGACCTGAAACGTGGTTGAGGTGGCGGGAAAGAGCAGGGGGAATTGTTGCCAGAATGAAATAGAAAAGCCCATATAATATGGGGAGAGGGCAGGGAGTAGGTGCCTCCAAGGTGTCTCCTTGGGGTAGACTGAAGGGAGGTTGCCTTTGTGGAAAGGAATACCTGCCCATGTAGAGAAGAGCCGAGGGAGGCCTGGTTCTATAACAGACCAGCCTGTTTCCATAGCCCCATGGTCACGAAAGCCTAGTATCTGCCCTCCAGAAGCTCACAGTATCTCTGCAGCAAGAAGCCTCACATTGGATGTGGTGGCATGAGTGCCCCAGATCACCAATGAGGCAGTTGCAGCTGGGAAGGTCAGGAGATAGAAGGAAATAAGCCTTCTGGGTAAAAGGAACTGTGTGAACTGAGGCAAGGAGGGGGAACTAGCCAACCTTGTTAGGGGCCCCAAGAGCAGAACAGCAGCATGAAACCTGTGAGGATGGGTTGGCTGTAGAAACTGGAGCATCTCCAGTTAGGAGAATGTATTTTGCATCAGTGAGCCTCCAATGGCTTTGCTGAGCATGTGAAATTGTGTCTGGAGACGAAAGGGGAGGAGAGGTGTGAAGGACTAATTCTAGAGGAGCTGCTGAAGGCAGGAAGAGGACAGACTAGAGACCGTGGACTTTTAACGTGACTGCAAGGACTCCCACCCTCCTTGCTTTGCATCCAATCGTGGCAGGTACATTGCTCACCTGTTGTATAAATGGGGTCTCAAGTTGGCTTAAAGAATTTTAAGAATGGTCATATTCAAAAGATGTCAATTAGTCTGTGTAGTTCTAGTTCAGAGTCAAGAACTTTCTAGCAATTAGAGCTGTTTAAAAACAGTAACCATTCCTGCAAAAAGGCTGTTCAAAGAGGGACTGTACAGTGATTTGGTCAAGATTTCATACAGCAAATTGTATGGCACACCTATTATGTGCCAGGTACTGTTCACAGAAGAGGTTGTGACAAAACAAGCCAGGCTCCAGGCTGGAGGCCAATGGAGCAGAAATGGGTGTTTCAGAATAGGGCTGTACAAAAGGCCTGTGAGGTGCCTCTTTGTCTGGTCTTTGTGGGGCTGAGGGCTATGGATGAACCATGGGCCTCCAGGTGGAAGCTGAATGACAGTTCATAGGCCCCAAGCCCCAAAGTGTCATAACAAGGCCCAGCAAGGATGATTCTACATAAGTCTGTCTGGTCTCCCAAACTGGACAAACCAGCCAGGTGAGCTGACAAAGTGCCTCTGAGTATTGCTAGAGATAGAGATCATCCCTTGTGAAAAACCCCACAGATGCACTATGGATCAGCTGGAGCATTGGTGGTTCAGTGGTAGAATTCTCGCCTGCCACGCGGGAGGCCCGGGTTCGATTCCCGGCCAATGCAATGCAGCTGCTTCCTTTTGGCCTTTTCCTGGCCAGTTTCCTCACATAGCGATCCTGCTAAAAGAGTTGGTCTTTCCAACCACACTGGGCCTGGAGCAGCCAAGGACACCCGGAAATCTGGAATTACACTTCCTGCTGAGTGAGCCCATATGAGCAGCTGGGTCCTCCAGAGAAGCATTCACTACTGGTTGTGGAACCATGGCCTTGATGCCTTCACCATAAAGAGACTCCTGCTGTGCTGCCCTCAGCCTTGGCCAGTCTCCAGCAGGAAGTTGGTGTGAAACCTGAGAACAGTAAAACAGCTCAACACAAGACCAAATGCAGAATGGAATGAGAGGACTCAAACGTCAAGGGAGAAAGTCCCCCAAAGTCTCAATATACTTTTGCTACTGAAAAAGACCAGAGCTCTAGTTTCCATCTCGAGGTCTGAAGGCAAATCAGCTACATGCACATACCCTTCTGTTTCCAGCCCCTTCCTCCTGCTCTGGAGTCTCAGCTCTCTGTTCTTGCTGATGTGGCAGCATCAGATATTGGCCTTGTATTCTATGAACTAGCATCTATACAAGGAGGCCCAGAAATGAGGCTAAAGGGAGGTGCCCACACAGCTGCCAACAGCTGCAGCATTGGTGGTTCAGTGGTAGAATTCTCGCCTGCCACGCGGGAGGCCCGGGTTCGATTCCCGGCCAATGCAGGTTTTGACTTTTTAAATTCCCAAAGACTGAATTTGAAACTTCACACTGTGGATACTCTAAGAACTCGGAAGTTGTTGTTAGTTTGGGTTTTAAATGCCTTTAACGAAAAACACTAAATTCTGCAAAGATCCAGAATCTGGTTTTGTTCTTGAAGAGTCCAGGATGTGGGGATGTACCACAGCTCACTGAAGTGGCTGTGCCTCCCCACTTCTGCCCAGACGGCCTGGCTGGGAAGTCAGGACATGTTTCTGCTTGGTACAAGTTAGAGCAGCACCAGGAGTGGCAGTGGGGACATCCTCAAGGCTTCAGCAAGGGATCCAAAAGCAGACCCACCCTGAGCTACAGAACAAGCAACCCTGGAGCCACCTCCTCTCCCGTCTCCTTGTTTCAAGTCATGGGCATTCCCTAAACAACTGGCAAGGGCATGACTCCCACGCCACAGTCAGCATATGGGATGCACTCCCCGCTTTTGCGGGGCTCGCTGCCACTGGGGTGAGGCAAAGAGGAGACAGAGAGTGTTCAAGGACTAACACGCAAACAGGAGAAAAACCTGGTAAAATGAATGCAAGAAGAGCAGGGGCGGGCAAGAAAGAATGACCAGCATCTGGTGGGAATGCAGTGTTGCTTCATGAGGGTCAGCACAGGATAGGGGTTCTGAAGCATGAGTAGGTGTTTGTTTTGGAGCTGTTCATGATGAGGCTGAACAAAGGCTTGGAGGAAAGAAGAGGAGGCATCTGGTTTGGCAGAAGCAAAGGTCACAAGTGGAAGAAAAGACAGGGTTGGGGAAGTTGCTTCCAGTCCTGCAGCTCAGAGCCCCAAATGCTTGACAAAGGAACTAGCATTTAGGCCCAGTGGCCACGAGGAGCCATGGAAGACCGTGAGCAGGTGAGTGATGTGAACTTTAGGAAGAGCAAGCTGCAGTGGTGGGTGGTATGGATTTGAACGGTTCTGAGAGAGCTTCGTGGAGTGAAAGTATAAGGAATGTAGCTCTAATGCTGGGTGACAGCTTGCAAGAGTAACGGGGCTTCCTGGAAGGAGAGGCGGGAAAGGGGGATATTTGTGCTCAGCATCCACTCTACCCATCCTCATCTTTGCAAGCCCAGCAGCACCTTTCTCCTTGATCCACACCTGCTGGAAGGCCCTCCCCTACCCCTATCCTACTAGGACTCAATTCAGGGCACTCCAGGCCACTACAGAAACAACAGCCGGCTCAAGTCCCGTGGCCCCAGGAAGTCCAAGTTTTTCCTGTCTGAACCCTTGCACTTACGGGTAGAATATTCTTTATCTCCAGGAAAACAAGCATCAGGTAGACAAACAATGGATGGAAGAGAAACTATGGGAACATGTACTAACCAATATCATCAGCCTGGAGGACACAGAGCCTAGCCCTGGGTCAATCCCTGGACCACAAGCAGGAAAAATCTGTGGCACAACCAAGTCCGCTATCCTTACCAGAGACTTGGGACAATCAAAATAGGCCAGGCTGACCTCTCAGCCTTCCTGCCTGGCTCCCCAGCATAAGCTTCCACTCTGGCCATAGCTGCCCTCTTTTTTTTTTTTTTTTTTGAGCTGGAGTCTCACTCTGTCACCCATACTGGAGTGCAGTGGCATGCTCCCGGCCACGGCAGCCTCGACCTGATGGGCTCTGGCAATCCTTCCACCTCAGCATTTCAAGTAGCCGGAACTACCAGCATGCACTACCATGCCTGGCTAATTTTTTAATTATT